ATGTTGTAGTTTAGAATCTCCTTTGTAAAGAACCATGTATTCCTAAATGAAATAATCTTTAGAAAAGTGATTTTTTGTAAATTCCGTCAGGTTACATAATTTAAGATATGTTTATATCCTTTTTTATTTTAACTGATCAAACCCATTAAACACTGATGATTTCAGTGTATTTCCTATATCTTAACATAACTTCAAAGTAGCATTTGGCTACAGAGATATTCTATAGTTTCAAGGCTTAAAGTAAGGTTTCACTTGTGTATGATTTATCTTAAGTTCAGAATCCCTTGAGAGTGGTAGTACAAATAGTAGTAGTAGTCTATAGGTCAACTAAATACTCTATATCATTTGAATATCAGCCATCAAATGTACGAACAATATGTATATCTACTTCACAGTTGCCCACTATAAATATTATACGTCTGAATTACTTTTTATCGATGTTTTCTTTCCTTTCATTAGCCTAAAACACAAATATTAATGTTAATAACATAAGTTTTACTATATTTAGTATGCGATTAGAAATGAAAACAACGACTTATGTTCTATGCTATTTTGGAATCGTCATCTGGATGTACCAGTCAAATATTAGTGTTAATATTCATATTGGCAGTCAAACCCAATATCTTTCACTTTAAACACTCAATGTATCAACCATTTAGCTACTGAGTCTAGATAGTTACTAACTTATTCAATGGGTATGAAGTTATTTTTAACAGTTTGTAATTAAGTAAAATGATTATAAGTAATGAAGTACTGTATAAACTCAACTAGAATTCATTCATATAGTGTAATGTAATGTCATATATAAAGATGATTTTATTAACCATTAGATAAACTTGTATTAAAATAGATTGGTTGTGAGGTAATAACTCACTGATCACAATGGTGGATGTGTCGCTCAGTTTCGTGGATTAGTTGAAGTTAGACATTAACACCGTTGGATACCGGTCAGCTCAGTGGTCTAGTTGGTTAATCGCTTGCGCGCGAAAACTGATAGGCCCTGGGTTCGAATCCCGCGAGGAGGGGTCGTGGATGCGCAGTGCTGAGGGGTCCCACAATAGGACGAAACGGCCATCCAGTACTTCCAGGTTTCCCATGGTGGTCTAGCTTCAATTGACTCATGATATGAACTGTTTGGATTAGTTCTCTTGATTTGTATTGTATTTTACTATTTGTAATAACAAGTATAAACTAGTATGAAATTCATATAAGAAACACTGTTACTATTGAATTTTGGTCACACAATGTTAGGTTCAAACAAATATACATACTTAGTATTAGTCATTTTATAATATATACGATGATAATAAATATGATTAGAGTGATGCATTAAATTGTCAAAAATGTCAGTCAATCAGTCAATCAGCTACAATGTAGGTAGAGGTATATATCTGCATCGGTCCAAGTTGCCACACCTCATTAGTACAACAAGATGAACACCGAATTCATAGAAAGTGTTACTTCAATTGTTGTAATATATAAATAAAAGATTATGCATAAGGAAGAAAGATATAAAGCAATTTTAATCTCATAGTTTAAGGGAAGACAAAGAGTGTAAACACCGACACTATTTGTAATCACTTCTGAGTCTTTTCATCCAAAGCCTCCAACCATTGGTTACGATAGTCGTGTGGGCTTCAACCAAGTAGTCTGCATCTATCAACATGGCTCAGATCAGAAGTTAGTGACTTCAAAGACTGATGAATGTTTGCATAATTGTGAATTTCAGGATTAAATATATTACAATTCTCTAAAAGGCAGTAATCAGGTTCATCTCTAATTTGTTATCTTCATTTCTATGTTTAACTGATTCAAGATCAGCGATTTCATAATTATTTTTTATCCAGGAACTGATTTGCGAATAATCTAGTAGGAAAGTATGACTTGTGAACTAAATCAAGTTTTAAGTGAGCGATAGTGGATGATTATTGATTTACATTATCGAAGTAACTAGAATTTAAACGATTGGCTTCATAATTTAATTTTGAATTATCTGCAACTTTCATGTTCTACCCACAACCCTATTTGAAGCCGTCAGTTTCCACTACTACGGAACTGCATATAATAAGAATTGGTTATTTAATGCTTCTCAGTTTATAATTATTCAGTTGATATAAATTTATTATCTTTAAACAACACCATAAGTGAGCTGGAAGTGTTAAATCTCAGTTTATCGACAAGTGAAATTCAGGAGACAATAGTTAGCCTATTCAAATTAGTATCAGACTCTTCAGAACTATGTATTCATGACTCCATCAGACATCGAACCCAAGACCTTCAGACCCTGCAGTAAGTATTTATTTATTTATTTAAACACATAAACATTAGTACAAGGAGGCACCAAATGCATATGCGCCACACAAATCATTCGATTTGTGTGAGGACTGGGATACTGCCTGGGTGCCCAAACCGAATAAGACGGTTTCCTTAGGGGGCCACACCCGGAGCTTTCAGCCTAAAAGTCTGATCCACAAGGCACTGGGGCAACGTTGGGAGATGCAGTCTCATGGTAGACAGTGAACAATAATTGCTTCATACGCTATTTGTTTTGGAGCCAACCCATGTGCACTATTGGTTTGAAATCAGTGTTTTCCAACTCCCGTAGGTGAAATCTGAGTGTCCACCAACCCAGTTAAAGCGCCGGAAATTGGCTTTTCGTCCTCTTAATTTCGTAAACAACAATAATGCCGCGAGAAGACAGTGAGTAGGACTTCATTTTCAGTGGCTGTATACGTGCGGCCATATGAGAGCATTTAGAGAGAAGGAATTGACTCTCCCCACTCTCGACTGTACCTGCAGTAATTACCTAATCTGAAGATAGCTGATTAGGCATTCAATTGTATACTTTTCTATATTGAGTCAATTCGCAATATATGTTGCACATCTGATATTGTCGAACTCCGTTAGTCATAGCTTCTTTGTAGAACTCCGAAGATCTACCCTCAAAGTTAGTCACTAGTCACCATGTGATATTGTTTATTATTATTATTATGAGATATTGTAAATTAATTTAACACTTGTAATTTACAGTACTACTTATCTTAGATTTTGCTTTACATTTATTTCGTTGCCATTATTATTGGTTGAGTATATTGTAATCTATCGATTCATATCTAAGTATAATAACGCTAATATTAATAATGGTCACTTAGTTCAGTATTATCTGTTTCGTAAAATATTAGTATTCTCAGTAATGTTTATATATATATAGCCCAGATATTCAAACACATTGTCATATGTATATATGGGAGTGTAAAAATAAACAACATTGTTAACAATGAAGATACAATCAGAATACAATGTAAATTCCACCACTAGTCCAATTACTTTTTTTACATTTTTTGTTGTTGGTAAAAACAGTAAACGTTAGAAGTAAAAAAAAAAGAGACACTGTAAACAAACTGAACATGATAAACTTTTAAAAGAAACAAGTATTTACATATCCTGTTCAATTACATAGCTAAGCAAGTCCAGTAAATTTAAAGATATATGACAATACATTAACATCGTTGGATGCTGACTCAGTGATCTAGAGATTAAGAGTTCACGCGCACCCTGGGTTCGAATCCCGCGAGCAAGATCGTGGATGCGCACTGCTGAGGAGTCCCACAATGGGACGAAACAGTCGTCCATTGCTTACAGGTTTTAAATGATGATCTAATATCAATGAGTTCATGATCTCAATCAAAACTTAATAATTTCCACAACCCCTATACTGATAAATACATTTAGATCCTAAGCATGGTCGATTACACTCCATTATATTGTCAAACCAATCAAACTTAATCTACTTAATTTAAAATCTTAGCATGAACTACAAAATGAAAACCAGTTAAATATTCTCTAGGATTGATAAATCCTTCTATTCGGTTCCTAAGCTATTCTGGTAACCTGCAAGCTAGAACTACGCAGCGAACTGAACTCGAGAGAAAAGGCGCAAAATAAGCGGCAAACACTTTACTCCGAAGGTTCATTTTTGTACAAAAAACACGGGTATTTATAGATGTTAACATTTTTAAATCAACGTCATATTTTGACCAATCCGCTAAAAGACATATTATGCTACTGACCAATAGTAGCACACCACGCTGGTATTCTAGAAAGCTCCCTCATGCTTACATATGTCTTAATAATCTGAATATAAAAATTTTGTTGTTTATCACATTGAATTATCAGGATTTTAGATCTACAATAAAATCATATGATTAAAATTTTTATTTAATAGTTGAATTCGTAAGTTGATTCAAACTAAATAACTATGGAAAACCTGGAAGAACAAGACGGCCACTTCATCTTAGTATGGGACTCCTTAACAATGTACATCCATGCTCCTACATCACGAGATTCGAACCCAAAACATATCAATCTCGCGCGTAAACGCTTATCCTCTAAACCATTGAGCTAGCCGACACCCAACGATGTTAATGTTTAAATTCAACTTTAAGATCCAAACTAAAGTTTGGACTGAAGAATAGCTGTCTAGGTGGGTTAGATACACGCCCTTGCCCGCTTGAAACCAAAACAAAGTAATTGGGTAAAATGATGCCTGGATTCAAGATACGCCATACCAGAAGCTATTTTAGCAGCCATCATGACCTTCAGGAGATCATAAGTAGTTTAGTAAAGAACACTTGGACATATATTCTGTAACTATATAGAAAGGTTTCATCTGTGTACAAACAGCGTACAATTGTATCAGATTAGGATGATGTAAGCGTTTCATTGTTTGACCTTCACGAAGAAAATCAGCAGCATCACAAGAACTTGGCTTTAGCGTTTTCACAGCAACAAATGTTTTATTCCATACAGCTTTAAATACTTCACCGAACTGACCTTGTCCAATTTTTTCTTTCAAAATAGTTGAAGATTTTGGAATTACCCATTTATCAATAAGTTTTTTGTAAAAGACCTACAGGTTCTGGATGAGTTGGTCGAATACATGGTCTGCCCAATCGACAACATAAGCCAGATTGATTCTCTAAATAATGATTGACTAGCTGTTAAATATTAACATAAGGCACTTGTCTTGAAATATATAAACGTTTTAATGTAAGATCAGTTCGTGAATATCTTGGTCGAATACGATCATGCTTAACAGTATTCTCTTCTCGTACTGATAAAGAATATTCACTGGATTGAGATTCACTGATTCGAACCAAAAAAGAGCCATGATCATTTCCCGGAAGTTGAAGATAATGTTCAGCTTCAATACGTTTCAATCCTCCAAAATACCATTCATTGGATTCTAAACTGGTAACAGCTGCTAAATGATTTTTGGGTACATATCCTCGACTATCAGTAGATACACATCCTGCATACCACCAATCACAGTCTGAATTATCGAGCATATTAAATATTTGTCCTTTGGTCATATTCAAATCATCATCTACACGTTTAACGTAATCATGCAAAGCGACAAATTGCCCTTCTTTAGATATCTGGAGTGAGTATGTGATGGATTATTTCGTATCTGTGCAACTGAATTGTTTAGGAAGTTGGCAGGCTGTTGAATTGGTGAAAAGTTTGTTGGATGATGAGTGTTAGGTAGACATGATGAATTTCCAACAGATGGTTTATCACCAACAGTTGCTGGAACACCCCACAAAATCACTTGTCCACTTCGCTCCCTTGATTTGCTGAACTGCGTCGGGAAAATAATTAGTATTATGGGTTGGTAGCGTATCTGATCAAAGCTTTGTGAAGAATCCGGTACTATCGCTGCTGGAAGCATAAAATTGGATGATTGACCATTATTGAATGAAATTTTAGAAGGGAAAATAGGTCGTCTTTCGACTATAGACCGAAGTGATAGTTCAAACATAGGCATAGAAGCGTCATTAGGAGTAACTGTCATCCAATTGTTTGATCATTATTAGACGAATTCGAATTTCCCATAACTATCCACTACCATTAAAGAACAAAAGGGTAAGCTTCAATGATTATAGTAGACATGTTTAATCCACCATTGTCATCAGTGAGTGACTATCTCACAACAGACCCAGTTGAACTCACTAAAACTTCAGGAAACATCTCTTAAATCGAGTCACTAGTGAACATATGTTGATTAATATCAGAAGGGTTTTTTGTGAATATTATAGTAATTTCAATAATTGAGATCATAAATCAATTGAAGCTAGATCACCATGGAAAACTTGGAAGCTTTGAATGACTGTTTCGTCCAGTGTAAGACTCCTCAGCAGCACGAATTATTATTATCATTATTTATTATCATTTATTTAATCATTAATTAGGAAAATTATTTTCCAAAACATATATGTCATTTCTATTATCTATTCAATATTTTACTTAACTGATAAATGTCAATTATAAAAATTGTTTGTTTTTGGTTTTTTTCCTCTTTCAAATAAATGAAAGAAGAAACAATTTAATGACATAATATAAATTTTTATTTTAATAATTTATTTATTTATTTATTATTTAATAATTAATAAATCACCATTGAATATAGTGAAAACGAAACACATTTATTATTATTACTATTATTATTCTCATAATTTTGTTTAAATTGGTCAATTTCAATGTTCAATGTTTCATGAACTGAAACATTGAATGTTCACAAAAATAAGAAACAAACAAACAAAGAGGATGAAACTAGTTAGTTATTAATTCATTTATCATTTTAATGGTGATTTATTATTATTACTAGTTTAATGCCTACTGTTTGTTTTTTTAAACTTGTAAACATCTTCAAAGATTATGACATAGATTCCTTTTCTATTTTATACAAAGATCTTTATGAATGAAGTAAATAATTAACAAACTAACTATTTCTTTTGAATAAACAATTTAGACAGTTAGTTATCTACTTTCTTTTTTGTAATTTAAGTTATACCTTGTGAGTTGTTTTGTTTATTTCTTTGTTGTTGTTTTTTTTCACATTTGGTTTTGGCTCCTAATAAGAATTTGTCTTTTAAACTTGTAAACATATTCATGACCATCTCATGTTGTTGCTTACTTTGTTCCTCTCTCTCTCTCTCTCTCTCTCTCTCTCTTATTCTCCCTCTTTTTTTTCATGGTCTTGTTTACTGTTCATTTCAATATTATAGAAAATGACCATTATAAGTATAGATTTCAGATGTGCAGATGTTAAATAAATTAACAGCTGATTAAATACTATATATATATATATATATATATATATATATATATATATATAGAGAGAGAGAGAGAGAGAGAGAGATTAACAAACCGTATATAACAATAACCACAATGTTTCTGTTATGACTGCTACTGATGATGGTGATGATAATGATGATGGTAAATACTTAATTCTAACAAATATATTGAGAAATAATGAATATTGAACTATTGAATTAGATTAATTTTCAATGTTCAAGAGATTTTGTTTTTCTATTATTATTTTTTTTTTGTAATATTAATGAAAAGATATAAATATCACTTTTTAATAATAAATTGACCCAAATAAACAAGAGTTAAATTTATTTGGTATTTTTTTAAACTTGTAACTTTTTCCATTGTTATTTAAGATTGTAATTGATCAGTCTCATGCTGGCATATGTGCATCCTGTGCGGATTGTTTTGATATGGCTTTTTATGCAGAAGTGGATAGTGGCTAGTAGTGGGATCCAGGATTCACGTTTCGTCCTATTTGAAACTCGTCAGCTGGATGTACCTGTATCTCAGAGTTAATGTTCACTCTTGGACTCGAACCCATTACCGTTGGCTTTAAACACCATCACGTTATCCACTTAGCTACTGAGTCCTAATAGCCACCTTCTTGTGCAATGGAGTGAAGTTGAAATTTATTTGATGTTGTTTTTACTTGTTCATGTTACACTGAATGAAGGTTAATGATGTTGATGAATTAAAGTTAAACTGTATATGAGTTTCATTTTTCACTTTTTATACTTATATTATTACTATTGTTATGAACAAGAACATCAAATGGGGAACAATCAAATGTGTTATAATATAACATTACAAAATATCTTGATAAAGAAATTGAGAATCATACAGTAAATACTTCATTTGCAAAATAATCATCAATTGTCTCAAACTTGATTGTTCCTTTGTTTCCATACTAATCACTTTCTATTCTCAATCTCTTCACTTTGATTGTCTCAATATTCTACCTTCAAGCATTACACTTCCAATTAGTGATCCATACTACTTATATCAGTCGACATCAGTAGCATACACCACAGTATCATATATTTCTGTAATAAATAATGAATATTATTTGTTACGTGTTATAGATTAGGAATGATGCTTAAATTCTTTATCAAAATATAAGAATAGAGATGCAGTTTCAACATTGATAAACTAAAATTTTCATTTTCAATCTAAATTTGAGAAAAAGAGAATTCAGCGAAGAAAATTTTCTTTTCGACGAAATCATTTACTTAAGCTGTACATTCGTATATATAGTTACATGGAAAATGTATGTCTATAGAAGGATAGAATGGATTGTATCACAAAAATGGATTCGACAATAAATAACAAATGAGGTTACGCACTAATCAATAGGTAAGGAAGAGCAAAATTTAAGGGTCAGATAATAGTCCAATTGACAGATATGAAGAAAAACGACAAAACAACAAAGGTCACAATAATAGACTGAATAATATCAGAATGGGTTTTGTGGAGTTTTAGAAATTTCACAGGTTGAAATCATGAGTCAGTTGAAGCTAGACCACCATTGAAAACCTGGAAGCACTGGACGGCCGTTTCGTCCTGGTATAGGACTCCTCAACAGTGCGCATCCACGATCCCGCACCACGCGGGGCTCGAACCCAGGACCTACTGGCTTCGCGCGCGAGCACTGCTGAGGAGTCCCATACCAGGACGAAACGGCCGTCCAGTGCTTCCAGGTTTTCAATGGTGGTCTAGCTTCAACTGACTCATGATTTCAACCTGTGAGACTGAATAGTAATCAAGACAACTTGTAAAAGGTAATAATAATAAATAATTAGAGTTTAAAGTGCAAAATGTAATAATAAAAGTGCAATAAAAAAACATCTAGAAACATACCCATTATGGGAATTAGGGCCAGGGTAGGATGAGAGGTTGGACAAATCGTTTCTGCACGCAAAGTTCAGGCTTTAGTTTTGGATTGCCAATGCCTCTGCGGTGCATAAAATATTGATTCGAACCCCCTTCGATCCCGTTCCTTTGACTCTGTAAACTATTTTAAACGAATTTGAATTCGTATAAAACCAGTTTTATATTTTTATATAAATTAATTCGTAAAAGAAATAAACAAAATAAAATATCCATTTGAAAGCTACATTCCATCAGTGAAACTATCAGGAAAACTCTTAAATGAGTCGATATAGAAAATATAATATGATGGTTTTCTACTGTAGTACATCGATGGTACCATTGAAACCTAGTGGTTATAAAATTACATTAATTAAAGTTTTGGAATATGAGATGGAGAGCTTTTTATTTCACCGACAATAATGAAATATACTAGAGTTTTCTCACCATTTGATATTATCTACTGTTTACAATTCGATTTTGAAAAACATTCTAACAGATACTGTAGTGTATTCTACTTATATTGACAGATATAAGTAGTATGTGACACCAATTAGAAATGGAATGCCTGTCAAGAAGAATTGAGAAGACTGAACTGAAAAGAAAACAGTATTGAAAGAATCATGATTTATGTAAAGAACAACTTAAGGGAGATATACAAATGAAGTAATTAATGTATGTTTTCCATAATTTCAAACTGAATAGTAAATTAATCTGTCCTACCTGAATGTTTATTCACTACAATACTAGTGATAGAAATAAATAATTTATTATTACTCTTACCAATTTTTGACACTTATTAAACATACGTAAACAATTCAAACAATGAATGATTATAATTTCAAAAGTAGTCTATTCAGTAGTATACTAAAATCAACTAAATTTTTCTGGACTCCATTATACACATCGAATAAACATTGTAGTGAACACGAGTGCAGACAATCGACTGTATTTGAACATGAAATTACAAAATATCTCATTAAAACCTGCAAACAATACAGTAAATACTAATTTGTAAAATATCAATCCATCGTCTTAAATTTAACTGTTCCTTTTGCAAATATCATTTCATTGTCTCAAATTTCATTGCTCCTGCATTTTTATACCAATTGCGTTCTGTTCCCGTTCTTTCCCTCTTCATCTTCTACTGAAATACATTCTATGCCTGACCACTGTTATATACTACTTATGTGGATATATGTAACCCACACTACAACATGAGTTAATCATTATCATAGAATTTTTTTAGAGATTTTAGAAAACTTTAATATTTATCATTTATATAGTAGAACAAACCTATTTACATATTATTGAATACTTCTATATCAGTTGATATCATTATATCATCTACAATTAAGTCCCATATTTTCACAATATCTGATTTCTCAATGAAACATGTATATGAAGTAATCAGATAATGTAATTTATTGTTTTAAAAAACATTGATTCAATTCTGTATCCAGTTGTATTTTGTTACGTTTTTGCTTTTGTTTTGAATTTATTACATTTTTGACATAAATTTCCTTCTTATTCTCATGATCTGTTCCTTATCATATCAAATATTATAGAATATATGTATATCTATTCTATACATATTCATTTCTTCTTCTTCTTCTTCTTCCTCATGTCTATACTACTAATTGACATTATCAGTGTATGGAAATAATCAACAACAACAACAACAAAAAACAACAACTTAGAATAACTGGTCAAAGAAGAAAATAAATTCAATTCAATAAATAAACTATGATTGGTAACTAGTGATCTGTTAAAATGTAACTTACTCTATACTGATCATTATGTCTATATAAATACAGATAGATAGATATTTTA